GTGGGATAATTGAAGAGCTAGTGTACAAATCTCGTAGCTTACACTGGGCTCAAAGTGTTCAGTAAAGGCCCTCGGACGTGCCTACCGCCGCAAATGCTCTGCTGCTTGATGCCTTTTTGTCATTATTGAAAGGCCTCTGTTGTCAGGGGTGGGAAGCTGACGGACGGGACCCCAGAGCCTGTCACTTGAATCCCCAGGCCCGAACTTCGAATGCCTTCTCCACACTCCAGATGCGAAGTCTGACAAGACATCCGAAACCGGTTTATTATAGGCTCGGCAGGTTGCAGGGACCGCCGGAGCACAGCACTGCAGGGACGGCAACGGGACTACAAGTTGCCAGAGTTGGAAGAATGCAGCAGGTTTCAAAGAACCGCCGACATGCAAAACAATAATAATAAAGCTCTTTGATAGGCTTTTTGCTGATGATTTGGGATTGGGATGGGATAGTTGGGGCCATGGGGTTCTTTGGTGAGCCTATGTGAGCATGTTCGGACGTGTGTGCCAGGTTCCTTGAAAACTCACCGTGGGCTCCCGCATGGTTGCAGTGGATGTCATTGCTGTACCAGCTTCTAACCAGCGCTCTGATCGTGGCATTGCCTCTTGTCCGACATGGTGAGACCGTGGTAAAGAGTTGGAGTATGTTAGGATTGGGTCATATTGGGTTATAGGCCTCCGTTCCATGGGGAAGATTTGCTCGATTGGCAGCTGCTGCCAGTGGCTGCCAAGAATTTGTGCGTTGGTTCTCGCAGCAGCCCTCGCAGCTGTCCAAAATTGTTCGAAGCAATCGCACAGGGTGCCTGCTGGCAGCGTGCACAGGTCTAACGGCACCGCCATCGTAGAAGCTTTTCTTTCATTACTTCCTGCAGCGGAGAAGGCATTCGCCCACTGCCTGCCTAGAACAGATACTTTCGCCGGCAGTTTCTGCACACGGCGACACGTAGATAAGACGAGGGTGGTCAATGTTGCCTCTTCACTGTGAGGTTTGCGGTGGATTGCCGCACCATGAGCGAAGAGACTACAGAAGTCTATCACAATATGGAGATTTGCGCAACAATCATCTTCACAATGGAGTATGGTCTGTGTCTTGTCGAAGACTAAGACCATGTCATGTGGCATGTGTGTGAAGCCATCCTGCTACCAGTGTTATGGGCACCTTTTGCTGTTTCGTGCAAGGCGCTTCTACAGCTGCATAGAGTCGGTGCAAGATGCTCAGCAGCTCAGCGTGTCAGCGCGTTGGAGAAGGCGGATATGCTTGATGACAAGTGCAGCCTGTCTTATCGACGTGGTCTCCTTGATTTCTTTATACTTGGATGTCTGCATCACGTCCAACATATTCCGAGGGGTGGTGTCAATTCGACTGCTCCGACTTTTCACTCTTTTCCGATTGGAGAGGAAGCACAAGTTCTTGTCGCCGATTGTGACGGTGATATCAAACAAGCGTAGAGAGCTGGGAGCCACGCTTGGTGTCGCTGGTCTTGTTCTGCTGATCTCAGCCACCTTAATGTACTATGTTGAGTCCGGCGTCAATGACAAGTTTAGCAGTATTTTAGAATCGATGTGGTGGGGCACTGCAACACTTACCACTGTGGGATATGGCGATATTGTGCCCATAACGCCTTTGGGTCGCTGTCTGGGCAGTCTGGTTGCCTTTATTGGTGTTGGTCTTTTCGGCCTACCGGCGGGCATTATCGCTTCTGGCTTTGCAGATGCTCACCGAGCGAAATCGTTTGAATCTCGGCGGCATCGATGCAGGTTTCATCAAAAGTTCCTCTTCGTTGTCTGAGTCTATATGTGTAGTGTATTGTCATCTTGTTGGCCCGAGGAGCTTCGTCACAACAGCGCAGATCATTTGGAAGCTCGGATGACCCGCATGATGAGCGTTCAACACGAGGTTCTTGCAGAGCTCCAATCCCTGCGCACTCAGATGGACAGCATGCTAGCCGATCAGCAACGAGTGCTCGCACTGCTCGGCGCAGAGAAAGCCCAACAGATGGGTGGCTAGAAAAGACCGGAGTTTGTCTGGCGATGACGCGTGCTGTGATCTGATGGATTCTCATGACGACCTTGACCTGTCCCAGTGGACATGGACTCTCGGAGTCCACTGGTGGAAGCGCATTCGACGCGCTTCACGCTTCGCATGCTGGGGCACCGAGCCGCAAAAGAGAGGCTGTTGCCAGGAAGCGGATGTAATCACAGGTTTTGATAAGTTTACATGGACACGAGCCTATTTGCAGAGGCTCGCGATGAGTACCTAAAGCACAAGAGCAAGGAGCAGCAACTCCTGAAGCTGAAGGAGCCCAGACTGAGGCAGCAATTGCATGTTCGGCAGATTCCGAGCACAGCTAGGAGCTTCTCGAGAAGGCTGCCTTCCTGCGTAGCGAGGCAGAGGCTGCGACTTTGAGCAGCTTCCCGGCCATGCCCACGAAATTGCAGAATTGGCTATTGCAGGTGCAGTCTCAACTGGAGACGGGTTCAGCCCGTGTCCTCAGCAATCGGAGAGGGCGGCATTCTTTGTTTCGGTCAGTGCTGTTGCAGGTGGTTTGTATCGACACTGTGAAAGACTCCCTGAGAAGGGGCGTCTGGGTGCCACCCAGGTGGGTGCTGTAGACGTCGAAACGTCGTCAGGGTCAGAGAGCATGTCTGGTTTGCAGGGAGCTCCGTCCAAGTCTCTTCAAGATGCTGCAGCGCCGCCCTGGTGTCAAGGCATAGCGGGAGCATGCGCGTTTGCACTGAGGGAATTCTGCAGGCAGCGTTCTTGTTGTGCAGGGGATGGAGCGGCTTCAGACCATGAAGAGGAGATCAGCCGAGGCCCTCCGCTCTCGGCCCTCTCCACCTTTCTGCCACATTTGCTCCCTGCCAGGTCTTCTTCGACGGCAAGGGAGGAATCCTCAAAAACCTGGATGCAGCACTGGACACTGTCGTGGAATCCCTTGGCCGAAACGGCTGGGTGGCGTGTGAGTTGGGAGCTCATCAAAGCCTGATGGCAAGAGCCTTAGAGGAGGCGAAATCTCTGAAACCTCGCATGTCCCGTGGCACCACGGTGATACAGAACGAGATCATCGACCCGACGACACCAAATGCAGACAGGGAGGACAGGGTTCTTTTCCTGCAAGAACAGGGACTCAGTGGTCCCGGTGCAGCCAAGGGCCCTGCGCCAACACTGGCCTTGCTTGAAAGTGCCATCATCGACATTGTCATGCATCTAGATCCCCGGCTGCAGAGAAGTGGGCTTCAGCTGCGAATCACCGAGCGGTGTGATGGAATGCTCTCGAATTACGAGAAAGGTGGTGCTTACAGTGCACACATTGACAATGCGGATGGTGATGGACGCGTTGATGGGCGAGTGCTGACTGCAGTCTTGTATCTCAACGTGGGATGGGACAGGTACGCCGGTGGTGAACTTGCTATATTTCAGCCAGATCACGGAGACATTGGCGATGCAAATTGTAATGGCAAGTGGAACATGATCTACCCGGAAGCAGGTACCCTGGTCTTCCTCCGCGCCGATCATGTGCTGCACGAAGTCAGAGGAGCCCACGCAGAGCGCTACGCGCTGAGCGTGTGGTTTTGCGGGCAGCATGCCGACTATGGCGGCTCTTAGAGATTGGCTGCAGCCATAGGTTTGACATCTTCGAGCTGTTTCGATGCACAAAGAAAGCGGCACTTTACCAATGAGCAGATCGAGGACTCGCAGCAACCATAAGGGCACCGTGGACCACTTGACCGTCAGATGCAAGCGAAGCACAGTTCTGTGCTTTCTGAAAGCGTCGTGGTTGGGCACAAGTCCCTGATGTTATGTTATGCTCTGTGACCAGACAGGCTCCTGTGGCTTTCGCCCTGCCGATTGGAGACAGATGTGCAAAAAACAAGGCAGGAATTCCTCCAAATCTTTGGAAAGTAATCGTGTGCAGCTGCATTCGTGGTCAGGGGACGGGTTGGATGACGGGGCTCGATCAAGCGCTACGGATTGTTTGGCCTTAGCAGACGGCCTTAGCGCCGTTACTTCAGGCGACAAACAGCACGATCATTTGTGCATCGGAGCATTGAGTGGCTGTGTCGAGTAGGGCTGCACCTAGTTTGGTGGAGCACTGCTCGGATTCACGCACCGCCCAAATTGCGATACAGGGTCAAGCAAAGAGTCTCCACGGCACGGGCAGAGTACGGATAAGCAGTTTGCAGCCAATGTTAGCTTGTGGCCGTGGAAGCCGGGAACTGCCTGCACCGCCACCTTTGTGGGCCCAGGCCGGCTCACATGCCTGCCGAGACCCGAGCGGGTTTCGTGCACGGCTCCCAAATCTCCACGGCGTTGACCTCGCTGCACATCTTCGCAGTCCTGTGGTCATCACGCGGGGCATTGCCTCGAATGTGTTTGCATGCTTCGCAGGGTGGAGTCGGATACCTCTTGCTGAGTTTGACCCCGTGACCTTTTTCGATGTGGAGCTTGGTCCAGTTTGCTCGCTGCCGCTGAGCAGAAGGGGACACGGCTCGTGCTTATCCGCCCAGCTGCGCACTCGTCTCCGAACGCCTTGCGCGAGCGACAGGCCGTAGCTTGCTGTCGACTTGCTTTCGGGTTCGGCCGGTGCGTCTGCCTGGCCCTTGCAGCTTTCCGGCACATGCCTGAGCAGAGGTTGGGCCGGACCGTCGGGTGCCCTCAACGGGCACTTTTTGCACCACCTCTTTTTGCCACCCGGTAGAGGGAACCACTTTTCTTCAGGATTTTTAGGCCATGCATTCTTGTTTTCATGGAAGTAAAGAGAATTGGCCAGTCTCCGCGATGCGCTGCGAGGCGCACACGGAAAATTCCGTGCTCCTGTCTGCCGTGCACAGCTTTGGCGCATGTCCCATCATTGTCACGCTCCCCGTGCGGCTGCGTCCTCCGGAGAGCGCCTTGTCGTTGTCATTGTCGTCCTGAGTCTCGGTCCCAGCCCTCTCGTGCACACAGGTGCTCGCAGGTGCGTGCGGGGGCACGTGCTGGGCGCGTGCGGGGTTTGCGCAGGCAGCACGCGTACGTCAGCGCGGGACGCAGGGTTCTTGTGGTGTCTGTATGGTCGTTCTGTATTTAATCGATGCTGGCATAATGTAAGGCTTCGGAATTGCCACCCACCATACCATTGTAACTAATGTAGCGCGGTTTGGGGTTTGACACCTTATAGGCCTGTCAGGTTTCGGATGTAGGGTCCTCTGAGTAGTCTGGGTGTGCCAACCCATGCTTGGCCGCTAGGGTTTGGGGGTTTCATGACCCCGTCAGACCATGAAGGTTTGAACCCGTCATGTTTTTGAAGGGTTTGGATTTGCACGCCATTATTACCTATACGCGTTTAAAGTTCAAGGTTTCGGGACTTCGTCACCTTGTACCTTGTGTAGCACCGTTCATCGTCAGAATCTGGGGCTCGGAACCAATGGCCCCTTCTTGGGCCGGCCATCAGCGCGCGTTCCGGGTCTCGCTGCCCGCTGCACCTGCCAATGGAGTGTTTCCACGGGCAGGTGCATGCGCCGGCGACCGCAACACTTCCCTTCGTTGTCGTTCCTGCAGCTCGAGTCCCACTCGTTATGTTCTGGTTGTCATGTGGACACGGCCTTCCAGGCGGATCAGATGAAGAGCGGCAAGCACACCCGCAGAGCGCGGGTTGGTGGGAAGAGATGTGACAGTTCTTGGCCGCGTCCGACCGTCCGAAGGGTAGAATGCCGGATGCTCCGGGACGTCATGTGCATCCCAGTCCGTTGGTGGGCCATGCTGGCCGTCACGGGCTAGGCCAGCACTCGACCTTGAAACTGCTGCGGGACCCAGCCACCTGCTGCTCCGCTAGGGCAGGTGAGGCTGTGCAGGAGCCAGCGTTAAAAGGACCCATAGGTTGTGCAGGGTACATAATGAGCCGGTATGACCCGTACATGCGTCGTCCCAACAACTTGCGTGTCTGATCGCCCTTGACTGCTTCCACCATCTCTGCAGACAGCTCCATCAAGGGCACTTTGGTCGGACAATTTTGTACCGAAAAATAGTTTTCGAGTAACCCTCTTGGCGCTAGCTTGATGAAAAGCGCTCCATCATGACAACCGACGCTAACAGAGGAAGGTTGTGTAAGTGGACATCGGCACGGCCGCCGAAGAAGGCAGAAAAAAAGGTGCGAACAAAAAATGTTGAAAAATGATGGATGGAGCAAATCACCTTAGCTGACTTCACACGGGATTGAAATCTTCCTTCTGTGTTGCACTTGGCCCGTGTTTGCATGTACAGTAAATTTGATTGATGCAAAACGGATAGCAAGCTAAGTTAATGTCGCATTGTGGAGGGGTTGGTATATGTTAAGAAGCTTGTTCTTATCCAAATTCGCGACAGAAGCTTTGAAAATCCCAAGTTTCCAGCGAAAGCCAACTTACCTCACAGACTTCAAGTCGTGTGCACCCGAACCCCTGCCGTTTGTCTGCTTTGTTTATGGTCGCCCATCCACCCACTCCTGGTGGCTCGTGTCGAGACATCAGCTAAGGCCCAGGAGGCCATCAGCCATCGCTCGGGATGGGCAAGCGGTCCTCCAACGGTGGTTAGCGCAGCGCCGCTTGACACACTGCGAGTGGCTTTACGTCGAAGGTTGCGCCTCCCAGCACCACGATGTTCGGAGGCCAGGTGCTTCGGCGACCAGGCCTTGGCCTGCACACGGGCCGTACGGGGTGGCTCACACTCTTCAAGCTCGGAACGAAAAAGTTGCTGCGGCATGCACTCGACCTTCAAGCCCTAAGATTGTGTTGGGTTGCTGAGTGGACAGCCGCAACCGCAGACTCAGCGCAGAATGTCAAATCCTCACCCCCCCTCCCCCAAGCGTTCAGCAGCAAGCTGGTGCACTTTCACAGTAGCGCGAAGCAACCCAGCCCGTGGATCAGCCGAAGTCGCATGTGCAAGCATGTGTCCAGCAAATTGTTGAACTCACGACGTCATTGTCCGAGGAAGAAAAGGCTGAGGTATGGAAGAAAGCACTTGAAAACTTGACCAAGAGTGGGGAATGTTGACGGTTTTGTCAGCTCTGTCATCGACTCAGTCGTGAGCTTGAAAACCACATCGACGATGATCTCCGAGTTGTTGCAGCTTCAGAGTTGTTGTCTCGCTGGCATGTTTATGCCAGCACATTGATTTGCATGCATGCGCCACACAAATTATGATCCACGGCATCAAGGAAGGCCGCATTAATCCAGCCAAAATTGCAGATGCAGTGTTGTCCTATGACAAGGGCAAGTCATTGCTGTGGAAAGCGCCCACCCACCTCAACCCCGATGACATTCAACACATGGAGCGTGGCAGCCCTAATAAGACTGCACATTGTGTGGCCATGAACAAACGTATGATCTTCAACCATGTGAGTCGCGGAATTTTTGGATCCGAGAAGGAGCCCAACCTATTGCGACCAGCAGCAATGAGCGTGATCTGTTTCGGTGTCGTGCCCAAGTTAAACCTCCAAGTTTCGAAACCATTGGTGCAAGAATCCGTCTCTTGGATTGTTGCCAATGTGCCAGCGCAGTTCCGGAAAGGCACATCTGAGTTTCACGAAAAGCTCAAAGTCCCAGCATGAAACGAAGCTACAGAGGGTGAGCCCGCAACCAAACTTCCCAAGAAAGCAAGCTTCGACTTTGGCGCATGTTCCATGGGTGACTTTGAAGATGATGCGGCCCAGAGCTCACACGCAGCGTGTCGCGAACCACCCCTGTTTGGGTGAAACGGACGAGCAAGGAACAACTCTTCGACACCAGCGCGCCCACTCACGCCGCTGCGGTCAAATGCGCGAATCAGTGTATGGCTCCTTCAGGATGGCTACCCAAAACATCGGGCTCAAATGTGACAAGCTGCTGGCACAGGCAGGGGATGCGGCGAGCTGTGCCTTCACGGCCTTGCCGGCAAGTGCCGACACCAGAGTGCCGTACGACGAGTACCGAGTCATGGTGCTTCGCGGATTCCGGCTACCCCTTGGTGCCGCGGCGCTGCCTTTGCGATGGCAGCGTGGAGGTCTATGGGACAATCGCTCCGCATGCCCACAGGTTGGCGTGCTGGCCCGGAAAGCTGGCCCGCCTCAACAAGCGGCCGCCCGCATCTGCAAGGAAGCAGGCGCGCGAGTAGCAACGCATGTCGCCCTGCGTGACCTCAACCTGGATGTGTCTGGATCGAGGTGGCGGCTAACGGTTTACCGGTTTGGCAGGGCGCACAGATCGGGGTTGATGCCACGATCGTCAGCCCAGTATGCCGGGATGGCCATCCCAACCACGGCAGGACCAGGAACCAGCCAGGGTTGCGCTGGACCAGGCAATCGACCGCAAGCACCGAAAATATCCGGAGATCCGGCATGCTCGGCGCTGCCGACTGGTCGTATTTGGAGTTGAGGTCGGAGGACGCATCAGGCGCGCCACTCTTACCTTCCTGTAACTGCTAGTGAGAGCGCGGGCTCGCCAGAAGGCACCATGGTGGGCTGCAGGGCGCGGCAAGCAATGATGCACCGGTGGTCTGCGTTGGCAATTTTCACTGCGACGCTGCACAAGCCTGCTCGCTTCTCGGAATGCCCATCGCCGGGCCATGTGACCCGCTCGATGGTCACTACGTCACCGGGGAGCTTCTGGCGGGCC